CCCACACCTAAAGGACCGGACAGCCATGCCCACACCTAAAGGACCGGACAGCCACGCCCACACCTAAAGGACCGGACAGCCACGCCCACACCTAAAGGACCAGCAATAAAGAGACTGTGGAGCACGGGGCTCATGGAACATGCTGGCTGTTGTGCTGTATTTCTTCATTCAGTACTGTTTTATGAGTGCCTCAACCTCACCCACAATAGAAGAAATACAAGCTTAACCTAAACTGCAAAACTATTTTTCACCTATCAGATTGGCAAAGACTCAGTAGCTCACACAACTATTGATAAGGCTGTGGGGAAAAGACACACCTAAAACATTTCCCACCAAGTACAATCTTGTAATACCTATCAAAACAAAAAACACCTTCTCCATGTCCCAAGAACTCCACTTCCTAGACTTTACCCTAAAGGCTTACTAACACTAAACAATGCACTTGTAAAATTAGCCAATGCAGTATTATGTACGAGAGATTGCAAACACCTAACAGCTGCTCAGGACCAACTGAGGAAAGTGCAGAGCAGCTAGTCACTGCAAAGCCAGAAACAGTCCACCAGAGACGTCCTCTAAGACAGGCTAAGTGACAAAAGCTAAGTGCACAGAATCTATGCACACACTTGGTATCTGTGCAAGGAGACTGCTGGGAAGGGAGCAAGAACATCTTATCTTTCTATTTGTGCAAACAGTTCAGGAAAGACAAACAGGAAACAGATAACAGCAGTTACCATGGTGGAATGGGAAAGGAGGTTGATGGAACATAGGCGAAACCTATTTATGCTTTGAACCACAGACTGCATTACCTACCCCCCCCCAAAAAAAAAAATAAGTTGAAAGTAACTGGAGGAGAGAGAAGATGTGCCCAGCATCCTTCTGAGTATTAGAGACAGAGCGGCTAAAAATGTCTGTTCCGTGGAGCTTATGTCTACAGGAAGGAAAGAGACATTAACTAAACATACCAACGTCAGGTGATTGTAAGTAACTACAAGAAGAATTAAGGAAAAAAAACCCAAGCAAATAGAACAGTCAGAATTTGTAAAAGGGTTGGTTAGACGGCAATCAGTGAGAGCAGATCTCAGTAGCATGTGGAGTAA